AGGCCTGACATCAATCTTCCCAGACTAAAACCCCAGTTCCCAAAGTCCTCCAGCCACAACACTGAATTCCTCAGGGAGGTGCCAGTCTCATCCTCTTGTATCTCCCACGGTCCTCCGGCGAGCTAAGAAAATGTTTTTCTCCCTGAGCCTGGCCTTCATCATTCCATTCCATCACACATCGTGAAGGAAAGGAAAGGAACTTCTCCCTAAGAGGAAGAAAGACCTTCAGACGCACCTGAAAGTCTTCCCCCTTGATCAAGAACCAGATGGATCTACTTCGGGGCCTTCTGAACCCCCAAGAGGCAGGGCAATTCCAAGGGACCGGAGCAAATACCTTAAGCCTTAACTTTGTCAGCAGCTCTTGCTCCCCGGCTTCAAGCTGGGTGACTCTGTTGGACAGGTCCATCGCGGAGCTGGCGAGGATTTGGTTCTTCTCCTAAGAAAGAGAAAAGAAAATCTACAGATTTAAAGGACACCCCCCCCCGAAACAGGGCAGCCACAGGCCCCCAAAGGACAACGCAGCTCTTCTACGGCGAAAGGAGCCCCCTCTTGCAAGCATGGCAAGAGGTTCGAGGGGTGCACAGGCTGCAGGTTCTCCCCTCTCGCCTGGCATCAAACGGGCAGGCAGGTGCGGGATGGAGGGCAGGCCCTGCTCCAGAGAAGGAGATGCCCCCCCAGATCCAAATGGACCCCACTTTGCTGGTGTTGCAAAGGGCTCTGAGACGTGGAGAGGGTGACGGAAGCCCCCATTTCCTCTCTTTCTTTCTTTCTGTCTCGGTAGGTTAGGGTTGGGGTTAGGGTTTTTAAAGGTTTTGAACAGTTTGTAAACCGCCCAGAATTGCTGGGAGTCAGGCAGCATATACATTTTAATAATAATAATAATAATAATAATAATAATACCCCTACCTCGAGGGTCTGGCATTGAAAGGATGAACTGGATGCTTTTTGAGACAACTCCTGGAGCTTCTGCTGAGTGCTTTCAAGCGTCCATATGTGGTCATTCTGCTGGGATTCCAGGACCTTTAATCTTCTGGTCAGGGCGGTTATAATTTCATTTCTCTTGTGCAGCTCATCTGGGGGGAAAGATCCGATCTCGTAACAATGGTAAACCGCCCAGAGTCGCTGGGAGTCAGGCCGCACATACATTTAATTCATCATCATCATCGTCATCATCATCATCTCTGTTTAAAAAGGACAGCTGAAAACTCTGATGCACACAAGTTAGGCCAGTGAGGAGCAGATTTAGCTTTTAAATATTGGGAAAAGAGAAAAGACAGAGAGAGAAAGAAGACAAGACGGGAGGGAGGGAGGGAGGGAGGGAGGAAGGAAGGAAGGAAGGAAGGAAGGAAGGAAGGAAGGAAGGAAGGAAGGAAGGAAGGAAGGAAGGCTCAAAAGGAACACACATCCCGGTTTCACTGCCCGTTTTCAGATTGTTTTACTTGCCATGTTTCTTCCTTGTTAAACTGCACAGTTGTGTGGGGGGGGGGGTTGTGAAGGAACCTCAGTGCCCCTTAGCTAGTTTTATTTGATGCTTTTACATACAGATGGTAAGAAAATACAACTACTCTATTACATACCTATATCCCTGTGTTGGAAGAGCATCAAATCACTGATTTTACATAGTACAGGCATATCTCGGAGACAGTGTGGGTTCGGTTCCAGACCACCGCAATAAAGTGAATATCGCAATAAAGCGAGTCACACAATTTTTTGGTTTCCCAGTGCGTATAAAAGTTATGTTTACGCTATACTGTACTCCAGTGTTTCTCAACCTTGGGAACTCCCAGAGTTGAAGTCCACACATCTTCCCAAGGCTGAGAAGCACTGCTGTAGTTTATTAAGTGTGCGACAGCATTATGTCTAAAAAACCCCACTGTACCTACCTTAATTAAAAATATTGCTAAAAAATGCTAATCATCCTCGGATTAACTACCACGAGAATGTTTGAAACATTGCGAGAATTCCCAAAACGTGACCCAGAGGCACGAAGTGAGCAAACGCCTGGAAAAATGGCGCCCACAGACTGGCTCAACGCAGGGCAGCCACAGGCCTTCCATTTGCAAAAAAAACCGCCATAGCTGCGCAGCGCAGTGATGCTGGATCGGGAAGCGCTGCTGGCGGCTGGCTATTGTGAGAGAATCCCTGCAAAGGTTCTACCCGGGTCCTGCGGTCCGTAACGTTCCAGCATTTCCATGGCGCAGGACAATTCTCTGTGCCGTTGCCAAGCCGCATCGGTTGGACCAAACAAGCAAACGAGGTGCCCGAGTCTGGGGTCCCAAAACACTTCTCAGCCAAAGCTGGGATCATCCACTTGCAAGCCCCTTTATCCACCCCCCTGAAATGGAGAAGAGGCAGGGAATGCCAACTCCAATCTCATCTTGGCCCCAAGCCCATGATTAAGCAAGCTGCTATCAGCCTCAGTCTTACGATCTGTAATATGGGCATACAAACGCCACGTTGGCTGAGCTCCTTGGCCGAGGCTTTGCGAGACCTACTTTCCAACCTGCTGTTTCGTTCTTCCAGGGTCAGTATTTTCTGGCGATCGTCCCCCCAAGCCAAAAATTGCCTCTGATGCACGGCAACCATGTCATTCAGCTCCTTATCGCGATCTTTCAGCTCTGCAATTAACAGCTGGCGTTCCTTCCTCAGTTCCTGAATGGTGGCGCTCTCTGGTTCGGAGGCGAGGTTCTAAAGTGGGAGGAAAAGGGAATTAGGGAAGGAGTAGTACAGCATTATGACAAATTGTGTATTTATTAAAATGCATTATGGTCCATTTTAATCGCTCTGTGCCTCGTTTCTATGCAATGTTTTGACCCCCTCCTGCAGACAGTCCAGTACAAATCTCTAGGTTTAATCCATGCATCCTGAAAGTAAACCCATAATGTCCAGGTCATTTTAAAAGTTCAGATTTTCCTACCTGGAGGGGACTGGAAAGGGGCAATGAAGAATTCATCAGGCCTCTGAGATCAGAAGTGGCCGGTTCAGAGGGGTCCTGAGGATCCTTGCAGGATCGAATAAGCCAACTTCATTTCGGGTGTCGCACAGGCACAAAGTGGGGAAACTTGGTTATTCCTTGGTGAAGGGACAAAAGTTGGTTTTTTTTCAATATATATAATTTCTTATTAAGCATGTTGATTATAATAATAAAATCTAATACCAGCTAAACTTAAAGAAAACAGTGAGAAAGAGTAAAAAATGCAAGGAAAAAGAAGGAAAAAAGAGGAGAACGGGAAAAGTAAGAAAGAAGAAGGAAGAGAAAAGAACTATATAAAGAAGTGACTTCCAACCTTCATCCCAAGTATAAACACATTTAGGAACTCTTCCCCCCCCTCTAAAGTTGCGAACATTTATCTTTCACGCCATATCCCTTCTCTTCTCTGTAAACAAGTCCATAAAGCCTCATCTTTTCGGTTCTGGTGTCAGCCGAAAGTGTTACGGGAAGTGTCACTGAGGCCGATTTCAGGCTGGCCAGAAGCTAGAGATGTTGAGGTACACTCAGACACACGTATCCACACGCATATCCACAGACATGCGTACCCATATCCATGTACCCATACACACAACACAGCCTTACATTTGTGACATGATATACAAACACCGATGCAACAGACAGATATCCACGGACACGTATACACGCAGAGAGAGCCACTCCGCGTGAAAAAACACCTCCCTACATTTGTCATACAAACCCAGGGGTCCACACAGACCCGTGAACCCATATACACTTACAGAGAGACCCACCTCCATGTGAAAACGCAAGCGCCTAAAATTATCACCAAATCCATGAGGTGATATTACAAACACTGACACACACAGGCCCAGGCCCACAGACACACGACTCCCGATCTACATACAGAGGAAGCCCCTCAGGCGTGAACACACGCATTTCTTTTCTTTTATTTGGTATTAGATTTATCTCCCCCAGAGATACACGCATCCCTGCATTACTTCCGAGATGTGCACATCCTGACACACACACAGGCAGGGGA